GCATGGTGTAAGCCTTCTATTATCTCCCATTAGTAAGACATAGACTTGTTTATGAACCAATGAACTATATGTGAATTGCTCCAAACAAAATATGACCTTGATTAGATCCCATATATCACGACACAATGCAGAACTGCACAGATAAGCATATTGTTTCCCAATGGATCAATGTTTTAATTCTTTAAAAGCAGCATTAGAAATAGGTTTAATCTCTAAACTAGATATTGTGGTTAAAACTGACATGATGAATGTCAAGTCATTTTCCTCAGTGAAATCAGTCTAGCTATTTGTCATAAAGAGCAGTCTTTGAACTCATCTGTCTACATTCCATCAGGAGAACCCTTTGATTATAATTCAGAAGTGACAATCATTAGAATTTTTATTTTCCAACATGGAACAGAATGTGGCCCCACTTAAAAGCAAAAATGACAACTTCTACTGTGAACTTTGAGCTAATCAAAATGATGGCATTTAAAGAGCCTTAAGCAGATGGTTTTTAGAGAGTGATGTTACATAAGTGGCAATAGATACCATTATTCAGTTTTCAATGAAGCCTGGAACAATCTGTTGGAATTCTATTGTCTTTACAGCAGATTGCAGGGGAGCAACCTATGGCCTACAAATTATACACAGATTATACATAATCTCTACTGTGCCCTTTTGCAACCCCTGGACCTCTTTAAAATCTGCCACAAAAATGTGATGCAAATTTATAAGGGCACAAAGACACCTAATGTTGTATAATAGCAGCCCATTTTGCTGACTACAAAAATATTTTTTTTTCTTTAGTAAATGAAGATGTGTTCTGAGACAGCTCTGGAGGATTGATGGTCTTATGCACCATAACCTGGATAGCTCAGGAAATGAGGTTGATGCTTTCATGTAAAAAATTGTTTTGTTGGCAAGGGATACAGATTTGACAGACTGACTCACTTGGCAAGCATATAATTCTACTTCAGTTTCTGTAGTACTGTATATTATAAAGCTTGCAGCTTCCAAAGTAGAACTGATATATAAAAAGACCAAAAGTGCTTTATAAAATGTTTATTTGGTACATACATACATTTATACACAGATGGCACAGAGTAATGAGGGTTAAGCAAGCTTCTGTCCCAATGAGATCTATTGGTTTAAAAGTAACTTAATACAATGCAATTAATACATACAATGTGAAATGGCATCAACTGTGAGGTTTTGTATTTGTTTTATTTCTATAATATTCAAATAGAACTGACAGCAGATATAGACGGTTTGAAAAGACTCTTCTCAAAGAACTCTACATCTTGTTCTAAGCAGTTATTATTTTTAAACTGGGAAAAGAATTGCAAACAGGTGTACAGCAATCTGAGGAACAGTACTTTCAGCATGCCTTACATAAATGTCTGGGTGGAGAGAAGAGGGGATTACTGTGATAATGTGCTTTTCCTGGCCAAGATTATAGCTTAAAGAAAACAGCATTTGTATTTTATCTTTCCTTGACCTGCAGAACTGGTGCCACGCATAAAATGGAGTTTAGCCCTTTTGGAATAAATAAGAAATCCCTCCTCATAATTCTTTCTCCTTAAAAGTGTTGATAGAAGATCAATTATATAATATAATTAAAATTTTGATTAATTAGGTGCCTCCTTTAAAATTTTAAGGGACACCCTTTGTGCCTTCTTTGTAAGTACAGCAATGATACAAATATGGCAAGGCTCTATCACAAATATGGGTGGGGCCAGAATTTTCTATTTTCTCCTAGATTTTGGAGGAAAATCTGATGTTCTACTTTCTTTTTTAAAAAAATAAACATATTGTCTACTTTAGGACTTGTATTATATTTTCCATGTTTTTCCTCCCTCAGAATGGTGAAAAACTATATCACTGATTTTGGGTGACTTAGTCACAGAAGCCTTACTTTGCAACTTCCTTAGCCTAATTCTGGGCAATAAGTATAGAATTTCAGAATTAGATAGTACTAGGGAAGTCAACCTCTGAAAAGGGAGACTTGCTCTATTTCAGGTCTCTTTATGCTGCTTTAATAAAAACAAGCAAACAAATAGATCTAAGTCTGGATGAAATCTCTGACAGCTTGCTGCCTTCATTAAAGCTGAGTCCTTTCACTCAGGGAATCCTAATTATAGGTATCAGTCAGTTATGCTTCTAGCTGGAGGGCATCTTGCAGTTATTCCATTTTCCTTCTTAACAGGTTTTATTTTCTACTGAGGGCAGAAACAGAAGGAAAGCAAGTGGGGAGGTTAAAAACTGGAGATGCCATTAGTATGGTGAACAAAGCTGGACAACTGCACAATACACTCATTTGGAAGCATTTTCTGACTACACCAACCCCTTCACTGTTCCATCAGTTCCTGGATTCATTCATTATGCAAAACTATATGATTTGTTTTTAATGTAACATAATCTTTGAATCCAGACAATTTGATTTATAAACTATAGCTTATGAGCTACATTATTTCATCCATTTCAACCTATAATTAAATAGCATGATCAAACCACACTATGACTAAATGCAAAGCTATAAAAATGTAGCCTAAGGGTTGTATGTGACTCATCAGTATACCTTTTGTAGGACCCCCATAATTCCATTGTTCTGCAAGAGCAATACACACACATACATACACACAAAGATGGGGGATTTCTAGGGACAAAAATCAATGCCTTAAACTTACAAATGCTTAAGACAATCATCTCACCCCTTAAAATGTCTTCAGAGCCTGATTCCATTTACTTTTGTGGTCCTTGTTATGCATGCAAAGCCTATTGCAGCCATCAAGCTAATGGAAGCTGCATGCTCCTGATTTAACAAGTCATCTGCCAATGTACCATTTTTGTCTAGATATCTATGAGTACTTGTACAAAAACATTTGACTCCATGTCGTTTTGTGTTAATACCAAGTTGCAGCTCATTAGTTGCAGCTCATTATTTGCAGCTCTTCTGGTACACATGCCAGGCGTTAATGTTTTTCAGATATGCACAGTTATATATCTTATTGGCCTCTTCTTCCAATCACTTCTGATCTTTCTGATAAATTCCACTCATACTAATATGCATTTATATGTTAATATCAAATCAAAATAGATAATTTTTAAAAAATCCTGCATCATTTAAAGATAGGAAGAGTTATCCTCCCTGTGTGTGTGTGTGTGTGTGTGTGTACGCGCATGCACATATGTTTTTGATAAATTTGAATTATCTGGAGCTGGTTGCTCTGACTATGCACAATGGAGTGAGTTGTGATGTTCATTACTGCTCTCAGCGTGTAGTAATTCTTGGCAGCTTGGATGAAATGTTACTTGATCACTTAGTTAGACACTTAGACATTTAGACACTTAGCTCACTCAGACATTTAGTGCTGAAATGTCACAAGTGGACTTGCTGGCAAGAGCAACCTCTTGAGGTCCTCTAATGCAGGGCTTTTCAACCAGTGGTACACGTACCACTGGTGGTACACGACCTAGACAAGTGTAGCGGGGGGATGAGCTGAAGTGGCAGCAGCACCACACAGGCCTGGGGGAGAGTCACCTGGAGCTGCAGTGTTGCTAGGGCTCTGCTGAGAGCTCAGGATCGGTGCACGCAGCTCCAGCTGATCTGCACTTCCAGAGGCCTTGGAGTGGCCAGCAACCTCACACAGTCTTCGGGCGGAGAGTCGGGTAGAGCTGCGGTGTTGCCAGGGCTCTGCTGAGGGTCCAAGATCGGAACGTGCAGCTCCAGCTGATCGGCACTTCCGGCAGCCTCTGAAGCAGCAGAAAGACATTGGGGAGAGTGTGTCAGCTGGAGCTGCAGAGGCCCCAGGATCAGTGTGCACAGATCCAGCTGATCAGCACTGTGTGCCATGGCCAGCCAGGGAGTGGGTGACTGCATGGGGGAGTGAGATTGGGGTAGCGACCAATACTGGAGCTCTCCCTGAGCCCCAAAGAATGGCGCACCTGGAAGAGAAAAAAAGGAGGGGGAGAGGATATAAAAGGAAGTTTTGGCGGGAGAGGGAGAGAAAAAAACAATGGGGAAAGATAAGGGGATGGACAAAGGGAGAGGGAGAAGAGGAGAGGCTTCTGTGAGAGAAGTAGTGGTGCATATTAATAAATATGGATAAATTTATCATATGTTTGTCAGTGCAAAGGGAAAGTGATTCAGCAAAGGAACCACCACCAAAGAAATTAAAACCAGTACTTTTTTCCCTTTTTTTGGTCAACAAATTTTTGACACCTTGCTAAGCACTGGTGGTACTCGAATACTGCCATGTCCTAAAAGTGGAACAATCTGTGAAAAGGTTGAGAAGCACTGCTCTAATGTATAACTTGTTTCCACAGTTTCTTGTTTGCACACTGGATAGTAAATACTTCAGGAAGAGGTGGGTGAGTAGCTTCATTTTCTGCTTCTCCAGTGACTCTCTACTTGATACCTTCAGGCACATGGTAGATAACTCCCATCATCTCCTGCCCTGGCTAATATAGGGGAAAATATCTGCAGGACACCAACCAAGCTCAGAGAGCACCCAAGGCGCCACATGGAGGGGAATGGGTTGCAACAGGTTGCAATAAGCTGAGCTGTCTTGCTATTTTATCAAGCTTACTGGCCCATTTACTCGCTTCCTCTCCGGTTACCTTCTTTTGGTCTGCCCTATTAGCACCTGCTGTGGTGCTTGCCATAATAAGGATGGCTCAGTCTACGGAGAAACGCAGAAACCTTCCAAGCCTCTCGGTTTTTCAGAGCTCCCTTGAGCCTTTGCACCCTCAGCCGTTGCCCAGGGATGCGAGGGGCCTCGCGATGACCCGGCCTCCCCTGCTCTCTACCGACAGGCCGTTTCCCCACCGCCAGACCGCTGCCTTGTGGGGTCGCGCCCTTCTCCCACCTCCCCCCATTTCTCTCATTCACACTCACACACACACCGTTTACGCATTTCCCGGTCTCCCCCCTCGTCCTCCTCCCTCTCCCTCCCCGTCCTCCCCGTAGCCCCTCCTTGTCCCCCCCCCACTCCCGCTCCCAATCACACTCCCGCCTGATGCTGGAGCCCCGCGTCATTTCAGCTTCACCGAGCAGCAGACATGGCGACGACGCTGACAGTGGTCCAGCCGCTCACCCTGGACCGAGGTAAGCGCTGCTGTGCTCGGCGCCGCGATCTGACGTCCGCCTTCCCTCGCTTTCCCCCACTTTGTCGATGGCAGAGTCAGAGGCTGTTTTTTGGGCTGAATGTGGTTTTAGCCTTCCCAGATCCAACCTCAAGAGCCTTCGCTACGTTGGAGTCCCCGGAGGCGATTTCCCGGAGGAGCAATATATTGCCCAGCCGGCGGCAACGTTTAACCACCCTGCCGCTTGCCCCGCGGTCTATTCGCAGCGGAGAATAGACAGCCATCCGCCGATTGGGACATGCTCTTGCGCCTCCATATCAGCCCGGAGGACTTGAGGCAGGGTCGCGGTGGTGAACGAGAAGGGAAGGACGGGGAAACTTTTTTTTCCGAGGCTGTGCCCGGGTGCCAGTTTGGAGGAGCAGGTTTAGCATCCCGGAGGGTCAGCAGCAAGATCAGATTTCCTGGAGATCTTGGAGTTAAAACATGGCAGGTTTCAAAGGCAGAGAACTGGCATTACAAATAAATACAGCCACCACCCCACCACCCCTTCGATTGGCAGTCAGTAATGTGGGGGAGACGCTTGTTCCAGGCATAAAGAAAGGGGAACATTGAGAAAGGACAGCATTTGTACTTTTATCACTGTTTCACCCAGCAGAGCAAAAAGATGTTTATTAATCTGATTACTAAGGGCTAGCATCCCCTTGTATACTGCTATTTTTAACTGCTTTCTATTGATATGTTATCCCCTGTGGCAGAAATGCTATGGATTATGTTTTGTTTCCTTTTTCATTCAATATATTAATCTGGGATGAGAAAAATTTCACAGATTTGCAAAATTAAAATTTGAGGCACAGTCCTTATTGCATGCCACTGATGCCAGTTCATTGCAGATGCCTTGATGTAGATTTACACATAAAGCTATCAGAATGTTTGCAGTCCACATTTCTGAATGAAAGCAGAAGCCAGCAATTTGGCTGTAATTAAATCCTCACATATTTTTTTAAAAAGAAAATGTTGATTGACAATTCCAAAAGATAATGAAATTGAGGGACAGATAGACTAAATACCAGATTAAGTGGAGTGGAATGAAAGAAGAGCAGGTGGGAGAGACAGAGGTGTGAAAAAGAAATTTCAGTACAAGTATAGAACTACATTTGGAGGGGGGGCGGAAATCCCTAATTCAAACCAATTCTCTGTTTGGCCAAAGGAAACACCAGTTCTCTTAATGTAGAATATAGGAAAGAAAAACAGTTTATTTTATTTGCTTTTTGATACTACTTGCCACCTGTGTGTGATCCAGGAAGTAAGTTCCATTGATTTTATCGGAACTCCTTTGTAATATGAGTAAGATTGCCACTTTAGTAAATCAATATTCAAGAGCCTTAAAATATTATTTTGATATCTAAATACAGTATAACAAGCTTCTTAGGAACTCTTAAAACTGTCCTTAATTTTTAAGTAATTAAAATGTAATTAAAGAATTACAATAAATCCCCAAATTCCAGCTTTGCCCTCAGTGTAAAATTCAATTTCTCAGTATAAATTTGAATAGCTTATTGGTGTGTAATGAAGAACCCTGGAATTTATATGTTGCCCAAGCTTACTTAAAATTCACTTCTGAAATGGACAATTTATGATAGGTAATCCAAAGAGAAAAGAATATGAAGTGTTAGCAGTAGTAGTTTGTTGACAAAAAGGACGTCTGTTTCTACCAAATAGTTAGAAACTCAGTGTGTAATCTGCAGTTTCATCCCAGTGAACTACTTTAAAGCAAGACAAATTATTTCCTAGCAAAAAGTTGAACAGATGGCAATCTATTAGGAAGCATTGTGGTATTACTACTACATACTATAGTCATTACACTATGCATTTCTAAATTTTATTTTAAAACTAGATAGAATTGAAATTACTCCTGACTTTTTATTTGATATATTTAAATTGCAACTACAACTTTATTGAGAATGCAAAAAAAAAGTGGTAAATAATCAGCTATGCAAAAGTAGAACACAATAATTAATAAATATTAGGGAGGAAAGGAAATCCTTAGTTACATAAACTTATCACATCTTAGTACATGTTATTTAGATTAGAATTCAATACTGATGTTATATTAAGCAATATTAATTACTTAATTTTAAGCTATTTAACATTTCATGACACTGAAGATAATTGATCATTAATAAATGTATTTGCATAATAAAATAATTATCACATAAGTAAAATGAAATGAAATCATATATATTTGAAAACAGCCATGAACAGTTTTTAGAGCAGCCATGCAACCTTTGCAAGATATATAGCCCTAATAATTTAAAAAGAAATTATTCTTCCCACTAGTGCACATTGAAAGGCTCCTCTCTGAATGCTTTTCACAGTCCTAATAGGGAAGGTGAAGGACAGAACTTTTCTGAAGAATATCCAGGGTAGAAAATTCCCCATATGAATTCAATTGAATCTTTTCCTTGTAAATGTTATTAATGTTAATGCTGTCAACAGCCTTGGTACTCAGTAAATCATTTACATTTATGGATGTCTGTTTCTACCATATAGTTCTTATGGGCTTCCCAAGGAAAAGTTAAGTTCTAATTTACATCCAGTACAGTACAAACCATTCCTCCAGTGCTCTTACGGTGATGCTTGTGTTTGAAAAACAAAACTAACAGGGAACTATCTAACATAAAAGAAACAGAAAATAGAAAATGCTGCTCCTCAAAGTAAATAATATCAAGTAAAGTGGAACAGGTAGAGGAAAAGAATTTGAAGAACTTATTTAGAGGTAGCATTTTGCTTGCACAGTTAAAGAGAGAAATTCTAGGAAACCTAGCTCTTCATTGTTTGTCCTCTTTCACTCTTCCTGTCCCTTCTACTCATAGATATACACAGAAGAATCCCACTCAAGCAGTGTTTGGTCTATGTTAACTACATTTCAGTAGTGGTAGCACCTGATCAATTTTGTCTTGCCTGAAATGCTAAACAAAATGGTATCTTGTTTGTTCCTGGATAGGAGACAAACAGGGAATGCTGGGGTCCATACTAGACTTCTAAGTCAAAAAAGCATCCCAGAAGAAGACAGTAGAAAACCATCTTATGTACTACAATCCTGCCCCACCCCCAATGTGGATGTATCCATGAAGTTACCAAGAGTTGAGTATGACTCAAACCAGATAGGTACATGGAAATAAGGTTTAAGTAGAATAACATAAGCCCAGTCGGAAAGAGCCTATGGGTTTCACCATATCCCCCAACTTCTTATGAAAAAATAAGAACAGTGAATGTTGCACTGACAACCTATAGCACTGAACCAGGCTAATCAGAATTACAGATAGTGGGACAACTGATAGATCAGACATGTCAAACTTGCGACATCATGTGACGTCGCGCGACGTATCGGAACTTTTTCCCCATTGCCGGCAATGGGGTGGGCGGGGTTTCCTTGTGACGCGTCCAGCCCATGGGCTGGCAGCTTAACACCCCTGTGATAGATAAATGATTGCCTCTTTCAAATGATTTTCTTTCCTTTTTAACTAGTTCACTTTCCTTGGTTGATTATCAATAACTTCCTACAATATTCCCTATAGATATGTCAATGTTTTCACCCTTTTATCATCTATTTATGTAAAACAATTGCCAGATTTTTCATACAAACATTAACCAAGGGAGTGTAAGAATTACTGGAAACCATACAAAATGATAACTTTTAGGCTGTAGTTAGTTTGCAATGCTTATGATTTAACTTAGTGAAAGTTCTTAGATTTTGCTTAAAAGTTGCAAAAGCTATGTTCCCATGAATTGTTACTAATATATGGGATGCTGAGGTATGTGGTAAATGGAATCTCTTATATTTTGCCACAAAATATTTTACAGCAATCAGCTTTTATTTAGATCTCATTTGTGGAAATAATGTTCTTGCCTTGTATCATCTCTTCCATTTTTTAAATGGTCATTCGCTGTCATAGATTTATTAGAAGAAGATGCAAGACTTTACCATAAATGTAGAGAAGATCTATATTAAAAAATCTGAACTAAAGAACTCAGTTACCACGCCCCTGAGAAAAACCAACATAACCACCAAAATCTACTTCTCCTCCCATATCATAATGAATCCCACTAAAATAGTAACACTGGTTTAGGATTGTGATGATGTAACACAGTCACTTTGTCACTGGAAGCTTTTCTTTTGTAATGTAATAAGGCCCTTGTCCTTGTTTACAGCTGCAGCTTCATAAGATTGCATTGTAAAGCTTTTGAATTCTATTTTTCCTTATCTGTGATAAGATAAATCTATACTGCCTTTTTTCCATTAATAGAGACCTTTATATATGTTATCCAAAATTTGCATTAAATTATTTCAAACTAGAGTACTTTTCACTGGTTGGTTAAATTGAATCTCAAGCACATGAGCTTCTTTCTGTAATTCTTGTCAGCACATAGCTTCTTAAAACAGCACAAAATAACTTACTCCTTTATTATGTAAAATCTATTTCCAAAATAATGGAAGAGTTAATCAGTTTACAGTTTAATCCGAGAAGCTTTATCATTTAGCCTGCACAGACCTATTCTGGCAGAGCTGGGAACGTGCAGCATACAATTAACTAGAAGATTGAATTATGGATGTTTCAGGGTTTAAGGGATTTGGAATACATAAGATCATCTGACATACAGTGGGTAAAACTGAATGATAGAATATAAAAAGTATTAACAGAATAGAGAGGACCTTTGTGTATGGAAAATAGCAAACATGTAAGTAGCCACAATCCAGCTACCAAAGTCATTGAGTCAGTGGCGTAGTGTGGGTTGTCAGCACCCGGGGCAAGGCAAGTAATTTGCGCCCCCCCCTCCACAGTGGGCGTCGACCCGGCGGCTCGGATCGGATTCGCACAGGCAGGGGCAGAGAGCTGCGAGTGCGAGCGCGCCCTCCCAGATGTTGCGCCCGGTGCGGCCGGCCCCCCCTGCACCCCCCACGCTACGCCTCTGCATTGAGTATCAATATATCAAGTCCAAATTACTTATGTTATTTGAGAATCAGTGAAATAAGTGATAATTTAGCCATGACTATCAGCCCCATTGATTTAAATGGGTTTGCTCTAAGCATGACTAATTCTGGAACCATTCCAAATATGGTGTAACTTAATGTCCTAAAATATATGTATTAGGTACCATTAATTTGACTGATTTATTGGGAGATTCTAGGCATACTATAAACTATACTATGAAGAAAGCCTTATAAAAATAACTATTTTTCATTTACAATTAAGTGCAGCCATGTACAGAATGAGGTTATGGCCTCATAAATGCAATCTAAAACTGAACCTTCAAATAGCTGTTAAGATGTAGTGTGAATGGGAAAGGAGAGGAGGAAAAGAATGTGGCTAAGTGGAAATTAGACAATGCAGAGAAATTAATATAATGATAGTTGCTTTGAAAAAAAATACATTTGTTCATTAAAATATGTCTATCAGTTTTAAGTTACATAAATGAAAACAATGAAAATTTCATGCATCCACATTGTTGCTTGGAAAAGCAATGCCAGCAAATTACAGATATTAGTTGTATCTTGTTTTAAATTTATTTCCTTTTTCATATAAAGAGCACAGATCCATATTGCTGCTGCTATACTTATCATCATGTTGTCAATTAATTTTTAATCAAATGTATAACTTGTACAAAAGACAAATGATAAACTGAAGTGAATTTAATTGTAAATCATATAGGCATGAATACATGAGAGTATGGCAGTGGAATTTGTAAAAATCTTTTTCTTCTTCTATGGTTTCTCAGACCAAATCCAAAGAGGGAGCATGGAGTGCTTGAGACCAGCAATGGTTATTTTCCTCCATTGCTTTAATGAAGCAGATGAACATTTTGAGTGATATTGCACAACATCATTACTGATTAGATTTACCCAATATCTTTTAGAAATAAACAGACAGCTGAGAGCTTACAACCAGAATGAATGAACAGGGGATCAAACAAGGACAGGGTTGTTTTTGGTTTTTTTCTTTTGCAAGGAATCTGCTGAATGATGGAGTTGATCTGTTAAGTTTTAGGGAGTGTTACAGTATTTGGTTTCTTGTTCAGTTTAGTGTTTTATATCTGAATATGTGTGTTGCTTATTTGCAAACACAAACCATACATCTGGTATTAAAGGCAAGGGGCAGCTTCTGCAGAATGGTGGAACTGTATTTCCCACCTAACAGCTCAGACTCAGCCAATACATTTTAGAAACAGGACAGGTAGTTGAGAGTGTTCAAACAATTTTGTAAGGCATTTATCATGTGGTTCACAGATCCTGCTGAAAATATGAATATATCTAGCATGTGTTGGAAATAATTTCAAGGCTCATAAAGCTAACTGATTATTATTCATCCCTGCTTAGCATATGAGGTCAAACAATCCAATACTACATAGGATAATAAGCAAGTATGAAGTCCTGAATAGGAGGATGAAGGTTTTGGAGGGCAAATAGTTCATCTCTCATTCATTTCATTCATCTTTCCTTTGATAGTCAAAAAACGAGAAGCAAAAGTAGAATCCTGGAAAAGAAACATTGACTAAACAGATTCAAGAAAGATTTGGACCTCTAAACTTCCCGGCATAAGTAGGGAAGGACCTTGTAAACCTTAACAGTAGGGCTTTCAATTAAATGGGATGAAAAAAAAGAGACACTGATTCAGGTACATAAAGCTTGTACATAATAGTGGAGGTACAAGGCAGAAAATGTTATTTGAAATCCTCAAGATAGGACATCAGGGAGACCAGTAGAGGGTGACATCCCTCATCTCCATTATCTATATAGCAATGAACATAGTAGCAAACAGGAAGAACTAAAATCCTACATAGTAATACAAATAGAACTTGATAGGTATCACAAAAATATAGAGGGATTAGGGTTATGACTGCCGTGCTTGTGGAAAACAAATATTATCCAAATATTCAAAAATGCAAACCAGGATTATCCAGAAATACAGACCAGTTAATTCTGGACAAGCTTCTAAAGCAGATTTTTAAGCACTACATCTTCAAAACAGAAAAGAGTAAAAAAAAAAAGCCATCATCACAAGGAACTAACATGGGATTCTCAGTAAGAAGCCATGACAGTCTACCCTTATTTATTTTTATACAATGACAGGATTAATAGATCACAGGAATAGTGTACTATAGATGTACTGTATTTTGAGGCCAGTAAAATATTTGACAAATTCTAAATATAGAGTACAACTACTGTAGACAGGTGTATGTGAACTAGCTACAAGTAAAGGCATCCAAATAATGGTCATAAGGGAAGGAAATATCAAGTAACAACCCTGGATTCCCTCTTCATCCCAGTGCTCTTTAGCATCTTTGAATTAACCAAGGATGAAACAAAAAGGATGCTTATTAAATATGTAGGTGATTAGCTAATATTTTAAAAATATTTAAAAATCACAATTCAGAATAATCTTGACATATTTGAAAGACTGTAATGCACCACACTGAATGAAATATATCCCATCATCCAAGTATGACAACTCTCTTTTCTCACTGAATAAATTCCCTGGTTTTGTTTCCTATGGCAAGTGAAGATTATAGTTATGATGGCCTTGAGTTAGATTTTGAGAAGCTTGGGATTTTGGAAGTTTTCAGCACAGAATTAACTAATTATCTAGGTAAGCAACTGTAGGAAAAACAAAATTGCAGAATTGAACTGTATCATAATGTTAAAAAGTTAAATTAATTCTGGATGATAAAAATTCACTATATGTTACACTATGCTATTTTAGCTGAAACGATCTCTCGATCTCTCTCTCCCTCCCTCCCTCTCCCTCTCCCTCTCCCTCTCCCTCCCTCCTTCATTTGTATCTGTTCAGATATTGCCAGAGCAATTGAACTACTAGAGAAACTTCAAGAATCAGGAGAATTACCAGGACACAAGTTACAGTCACTTAAAAAAGTACTGCAGAGTGAGTTTTGTACAGCTATCAGAGAGGTATGGTAATACATTTTTGGCAAAACATTTTCCTGGGGGGGGGGAGAGGGATGGAAAGTACTATTACTACTGTTAATGCAGAAAGAATGAACATACCATTGAAAAGACCTCTGTATCATGCCAATAAATAAATATTGCTCTATGGAGTTTCTGGAACTCATTGGCATTTGTTCACAATCAATGCTGCAATAATAAAAATAAAATTTTGCATAAAAAATACATAAGGTCTGATCTGACATAAACAGAATTTACTTTCCAAAATGTTTTATACTGAGGATTTAGGGGATAGCATTACATCACACATGAAGTGCAGGCAGAGGAATCATGAGAACAATCCAATAAATTTATGTAACAGTTATTAGTTTCTTGCTACATTCTTATTGTTCTAGTGTGCTGGGAGGTTCACAGAGCCTATAGTGTTTGTTGGAGTTAGTTCTCTAATGATGGGAAGAAAGTTAAACAGGGAAGTCAACTAAATAATCCCCTAGCCCAGTGGTTCTCAACCTGTGGGTCGGGACCCCATTTGGGGTCGATCGACCATTTCACGGGGGTCGCCAAGCAAGGCTGTCCGCCATTTTTTTTGTCCGCCAATTTTTTTGTCCGCCATTTTTTTCCCCTTTTCCAGCGGGTGCCTTACCTCCCTTGGGCTGGGCCAGCTGGTGGTCGGCCTGCTCCGTCTCTGTCGCTTGCCAGCTACGCCTCGGCCGGCGCAGGGGGCGGAACCACGCATGCGCGGCGCTCCCGGGCAGAGAAAGTCCTCGACTTACGACCGGTTGGGTAGTCCTCGACTTACGACCGGTTCAGTCCTCAACTTACGACCGGTTTAATCCTCAACTTACGACCGGTTTAGTCCTCGACTTACGACTGGTTGGGGTCGCGGCATTAAAAAGGTTGAGAACCACTGCTCTAGCCAGTGCCTCAGCATCAAGGCAGGCATACAGTGAGAACGTTAGAGCTTGCAGATCAGTGATGGCTACACCACTGGACTGATATGCCCAGAAAAATCTGATCATCAATGTAAGCTTAAATACATTTACTAGGAAATAGAACCCATTAAGACCAAGGGCCTTTATTCAGTTACAACGCATAGGAATTTGGTATGTAAATTTATAATGTTTCCTATGAAAATATAATTTTGATTGTAACCCTTCCTTATTTTTAAACAATGTTGATATATTTTACTACGTATAGGCACTTTCTTTTCTTTTTTTCAAAATAATTAAAACTGAATGTTTTAACTAAATAATTACGGCTTTACTAATTTACTAACTTGTAGTCAGTGGCAAAACGTTAAGGTTTCAGTGATTCACATGCTTGTTAGAAAATAATTTTTCCCCTTTCACTTAAATAAATTTAGGAAACCAAGGCAAATACAATATATAGATTGAAATAGCATTCTCAATTTTAAAACCTCCTGAATGCTTGGAAAATATAGAATTGGTAGCACAGGGTCCTGGGCTTTTTAAAAACATTTTTACAATCATAAGTAGCATCGATGGAAATTCAAATAAACATCTTAAAATTATATTCCACATATCTTATGAAATGGCATTGCTCTTGGTTGAAAACCTACAATATCACATGGTGAAATTTCAAACCTCTTGTGTAATTTTGTGGTTTTATGAGAGTTTGATATTGCTCTGTGTGTGTTCATCTTTGTGTGTTCATCTTTGGTCCATAGTACATAGAAGAATTATTGAACCCTAATATAAATAATACTATTCAATGCTTTAGAGCAGATAACATAATAAAGCCCTTAATTGAATCAAATGAATACTTCTGATTGATGAGAGAATGTATATAGTTTGTTATCCATATCAGAAAACATTAATACCTCAATGCTTAAATATACTTTTTATATGTGGAAAAATAGCAGCTAACATATAGCAAAACTGAGGAAATCAGAAAATTAATATTCACTATTGGTTGAATGAACTAAAAGCTATTTAGCGAGAGCTTAACAATTGGTTGTTCTTTACAGGCTGCTGATTTTTTTTCTTCCCTATAAGGAATAAAACAATCTAAAAGCATCTTTGTAGAACACTCAGTGTTTTTCTCCCCCACTTTGCCTTTGTAGAACTACTGCAAAAAATGGGGATACATGTTCTCTTTTCCCATTTTGAAGTTCATTTCTCTAAAGTTGGTGGGAAGGGAAATCTTAATGCCCACTCCAGAAATTGATCAATTTCTAATTTCCCCTTGTTTAGGGAACAAGAAGGTTTGGGATTCTACAGATTTAAGGAATTCCTCAGTAGCGTCCAGTCTACCCACCAGCAGAATCCATTTCTGCTGATGGAATAGCATTACTATTCTATTCTATGGCAACAACAGGTAAGCTTTTAGTGACTAGCAGCTGAAGGAATAGATGACTGGAGGTGCTGTGATATTGCTGCAATGGACAGTCTGGATTTTCCAATTGGCATTATTTGTTTGAAGGAAGAAAATTTAAGTTAGTTTGGATTAGCTTTGTACTACACATAGTTTGTACTTGTACTTACACATAGTTTTTCAGTTGATGCTGCCTACAAGAATTCGTGGGAATTCTCATGATAAGTGCATATAGCTTATGAGCTATTTAGAACATTGTGCACTCTGGCAAAGACCCATGACATATTATGCAATTGCATTCTGAGAAATTTATATATTGAAATAATATACCAGCACACACAATATTTTTCTTTGCTCTTAGCTTTCTGATATTCATAGAATAAAGATAACTAGCTCACAGTTGAAAAAAAAACTTAAAAATCTAGATATACGCCTGGATTATCAGTTTATGGTCATAACTGATTAATTTTTAAATCATTATTTGGAAGCTCACTTCAGTGCAGTAAATGGTGAGAGTTTGCACTCTGTTTAGAAAAGAAATTATTTTTCTTTTAAAAACCTGAATCCACTTTGATCAACATTTTATCCTCAGCCATGATGGAGAAATGTTTAGGAGGAATCATCACAAAGTGTACATAATATGCTTGACAGATTTCTGAACCCCAAAGTTATAATTGATTCTCTCGTCTTTATTCCAGACATATGGTATCATAACATCAGGCAACAGATGGACATCCACAAGTGAAATACATGTTATGAGTAACATTGGAGACTGTCCAAAAATGAGTTTCTTTTTTTTTAATGTGATTTCTAAGTAAAATTCTTCTTCTAAACTCCATATTGTTTTGGGTTGTCTTTGGTCTCCAGAGCAACTACATGAACAGCATGGAACCTTATTTTTTCTTTCTCACTTTTCCTTTCCTGATTTTTTTCTTTCTCTATCTTTCCTGAATTAGTTAAATTATTTTTTTCCTCCATTAATATATCTCATTTAAGTATTTGTTTAAAAACATATCAAACATCCTAACTACTGCTAACATTTTCTTCATTTTTTAATCTTGAAAAATGTTTCTGATTATCACAGTTATCTACCACAGTTATCAAACACCATCATAGTTTCTTTTCTTACTCTTTTAATTTTGAAGTAAAAAAAATAGAGAACCAAAGTTTAAATTCACATTCAGGAAGTGATATGTCTGTGAGAGAAAATCAATATACAGATTGAACTCTTGCCTAGAAAGGATTGATTACTTAGAAAGGATTGATTCCTCGCATGAATAGTATGGTTGCCCAAATCTACACTCATTTCATTATACTTGATACACTCCCCTCTACAAAGCTGTTTTCTGCTAACCTTCTTAAGTTGTGATACATTAGCATTAAGTTATTTAGTTTTCTGTAGAAATTTACCTTCACATTTTGCTTCCATGATTGGAAAATTTAGATCCCATATGTGAATGCCAGCCTGTGACCCATGGCTGTTTCCAGTCTAATTCTCTGTTCATTTTCATGGCCTCTCTTCTTTCCCTGATGTGTCTCCCGTTTCTGTCTAGAATCTATATCAATTTGGGGGCAAAGGAAAATTGCCCAAATCAAAAAGTAATTCTTCAGATAAATTTAAAGAAATTGGTTAAAAACTGTAAGATTACAATACTTGCATTGCTTATTTTTTTATAATAATAACAACAACAACATTAGCTCATATCTTGGCCTTTAAGCTATTACTCTGAACTGAATCTTTAATCTGACTATAATTTGATAACTCAAGGGTCATTTTCCTATATACTACACAGCACTTTTGTGGCTGTACTTGTTGATCAAGGGGAGATAAAATAAAAATAGGCTGAACATGCTCTGTAGAGATAGAGATTTAGCTAATAATTACTTTACAAATTTATACCGGTGATAAGATGAAGTGAAATATAAGTTGAACATGAGCTTGAATTTTTAGGGCCGACATAATCACATAACTTTTTGGCCTTCTTCAAATTTTTGACTTTTCCTCCCAAACAAAATAGACACTTTTTTGTTTTAATTATAAATATAGGCTAGGAAATGTATGTGCAATATAGATGACAATTAGAATACAGATGACAATCAAAATCATTATAAAAATAGTTTTTCCCTAAAGCCAAGTGAGCAAGGGGATATTCTTTTCTTTCACTATCAGTATTTCCTGACTTGTGCTTCCACAAAGCCCTGGATAGCATGAATCAGAACTTTTAAGAATAATTTTGTTTTCATGCATCAGTTTCATGAAATCAGTTGCAATCTCAATTTATTTGAGTGGGCTAAGCAACCCAAGACTTACTGAAGCAAATTCTCTGCTAAGCATATTTATGGTAATATTTTGTATTATTTATGGTTATTACATTCTGATATTCTGGTCCAAAAAGTCTAAAACAGTTGTTATAATTATATAATTATAAATATATAATTATATTTTGCATGTTGTTGACACTCATGGCATAAATCTAATGCCCCAGAATATAGTGTTATATCATATAATTGACACTGTTCTCTATAGGACAATTGCAAACAAAAAGTTCTTATCATGAGAATGTGGATATGCTCGTTCAGAAATGCAAATACATAGTAATGTTTATTATGATGGAATGCCAAACAGTCCTTGGGAGCACAACAAGACTGTTAAAAGAGGAAACAGGTCTCTT